GGAACAGGAGTAAGGGAGAAGGGGGAGGGGGGGTAGCCTATCATGCTGGCTCTTTACCCTTTTGTTTACATTTAGATGACGCCCTTACGTCTTTTGTTTACTAAGTCAACGCCTTATTCAGGTCATTTACATGAAAGTCGATGCTTAGCATCCTTGTTTGCATCAACGTTTTGTGACATTTGTTTACATCAAGTCGACGCTCTACGCCTTAGTTTACATCAAAGCTTCAGCTTTATGCGATAATTGTAGTTTTTCTGCCTTCAAGCTGTATTTTGTCTTTGTATTTGTGTGTACTCACCTACTTGTGGTTGCAGGGGTAGATTCACAGCTGTGTATGTGTACTCACCTAGTTGGGGTTGCAGGGGTCGATTCACAGCTCCTGGCCCCGCCTTTTCACTGGTTGCTACTAGATCACTCTTCCTGCTCCATGAGCTTTATCATACCTCGTCTTAAAGCTATGTATGGATCCTGCCTCCACTGCATCACTTCCCAGACTATTCCACTTCCTAACAACTCTGTGACTGAAGAAATACCTTCTAACATCCCTGTGATTTATCTGAGTCTTCAGCTTCCAACTGTGACCCTTTGTTGCTGTGTCCCATCTCTGGAACATCCTGTCTCTGTCCACCTTGTCAACTCCTCTCAGTATTTTATATGTCGTTATCATATCCCCCTATCTCTCCTGTCCTCCAGTATCGTCAGGTCGATTTCCCTTAACCTCTCCTCGAAGGACATACCCCTTAGCTCCGGAACTAGTCTTGCTTCAAACCTTTGCACTTTCTCTAATTTCCGCACGTGCTTGGCTACGTGTGGGTTCCAAACTGGTGCTGCATACTCCAATATAGGTCTGACATACACGGTGTACAGGGTCCTGAACGATTCCTTATTGAGATGTCGGAATGCTATTCTTAGGTTTGCTAGGCGCCCATATGCTGCAGCAGTTATTTGGTTAATGTGCGTCTCAGATGTGCCCGGTGTTATACTCACCCAAAGATCCTTTTCCTTGAGTGAGGTTTGTAGTCTCTGGCCCCCCTAGACTGTACTCCGTCTGCGGTCTTCTTTGCCCTTCCCCAATCTTCATGACTTTGCACTTGGTGGGGTTAAACTCTAGGACCAGGCCTGCAGCCTGTACAGATCCATTTCTAGTTCTGCCTGGTCCTCGTCCGATTGAATTCTTCTCATCAACTCCACATCATCTGCAAACAGGGACACTTCTGAGTCCATTCCTTCCGTCATGTCGTTCACATACACCAGAAACAGTACCGGTCCTAGGATTGACCCCTGTGGAACCCCGCTCGTCACGTACCATGACTCGCTGATGTCTTCCCGACAGGTATTCCCAGATCCACTGCAGCGCCTTCCTTGTTATACCTGCCTGGTCCTCCAGCTTATTCACTAATTTCTTGTGTGAAACTGTGTCAACAGCCTTCTTACACGATGTGTGTGTGTGTGTGTGTGTGTGTACACAGTTTATTACATACATCCCAGTGCGAACAATTTAATTCACGTACAACAGGCGCTCCAAATCTCATGATTACATAAAAATCGGCGCTTTGCGTTGTTCACATCGTCTACGCGCTGCGTCTATCGTTTAAAACAAGTCGACACTCGACATGCCTTGTTCACCACTTGTCAACTTCTTGGGTCCCTCCTCCGTCCTTCTCGCTTCCGAGAGTTCGCGATTATCAGAGTAAAGATGATATATTATGATAAGGGCTGGATTTATAAGGATAAATGAGTCCGGATACGGGTGTTTATCCCGGCAAGTCGTGGCTGGCAAGGCGACACACGGGCTAACAATCCCCTGAGGACGACAACAATGGCGCCGTGTTCCGGAACGGCGGGTGACGGTGGGAGTCACACATCGACTTCCACTGATGTTTAGTGGCCATACGTTGGCTTCGACGGAGATTTAGTGTCCATAGGACGACTTCGAGGAGGTTTAGTGGCCATATGTCGACTTCCAAGGTTAGGGGCCATACGTTGATTTCCAAGAAGGTTTAGTGACCATATATTGATTACCAAGAAGAAATAGTGGCCATACATTGATTACCAAGTAGGTTTAGTGGCCATACGTCGATTATGAAGGTGGTTTAGTGGCCATACATTGATTTCCAAGAAGTTAGTGGCCATACAATGACTTCCACGAGGATGTAACATCCGCACGTCGATTTCCACGTAGTTATAGCACCCATACGAAGGTTTAATGCCCACATGTTGACTTTAACAAAGGTTTAGCACTCGCACTCTGAACAACGGGGACCGACTTGATAAAAAGAGCAAACACTATACTTCTTCCTAAAACACCGAGAGTAGAAAAAGCAATTCTCAGAGAAAGGAAGTGGATGGAAGCGTGTATGACGAGTACGTTCTTTACCAGTAAGGCACGTTCTTTATTCGTCAGGCACGTTCTTTTCTGCATATAAATACGACTCACAGCAAAGATTAAAGCTGTTTCAGGAAGATAATGTCTGTGAAAATTGTCTTCAACAGTAGGAAGAGGCATTTGGTTGTTTGATGCATCTGTATATGTTTGTAGTGAGCTTGATGATATTTGTACACTCTTGATATCTAGATTTCAGCACCTCACATGCACAAACGCATATATGTACATATACACAAACAAACACACATGCTCATTGGCTCCCTCTCCTGTGGTGACGACCTTTCATGACTACTCACAGGAAGACACCATTACCAGAACCACAGAACCAACAGCAACAGCACCACTAATAATAATGCCTAAAGGATTACGACAGCATCACCACCGCCAGCACCAAACACCTCGACAGATGACGGTGGTGATACGAGCTGCACGGTGTCATTCACCACGACAGATGACAGTGGTGACACGGGCTGCACGGTGTCATTCCCGGGGTATTGTACCAGCAGCGAGAAAATTAAATTAGAAGCACATAACATTGAAAAGAGGAACTTAACAAGCGAGTGTTCTGACTCAGCGGGGTGCCCTTCATGGGCAAATGGCGAGGGAGGGGAGGAAAGGAAGGCAGAGAGGAGGGGAGAGGGGCAAGGGAGGAGGAAGGAAGAGGAAGGCTGGCAAAGGGGTATCGGGAGGAAATGGGTATGGTGCTGAGAGGAGTACTGATAGATTACTGTATATTCAGGTGAAAGCGATAAACACTCAGGGGCCACTGAGCGCCTTGGAAATGGGAGGCAATCGCTTTTCATACAAGGAACGTGAGAGTAGGTTCAATTCCTTGGATCAAAAGCTCTTGAAAGCAGCGGAGACGGGGTGGGGAGCTTTCAGGGACAAAGAGGTGTGAACAGAGTGCTACCATGTTTGATTCCCCGTGTCAGTAGTGTTACTGTGTAGTATACTTAGATAATCCCAGCTACTTTATAGATACGCTCCCTTGCTAGCCGTGACGTCACGAAACCCAACACACGTGAGCAGTAGGCCAGAGGCCTCGCGGTCAGTTCAACGCTAGGCTTAGACTCGACGGCAGGCTCCTGGGCTTCTCCTCAAGACTCTCTTAATTATACGCCTCCAAGACATCCAACGTGTGTATTTCTTACTCCAACATCTCCTGACGAACCCTCACGACACCCGGTCCGGGCGAAACGTGTGGGTGAATCCTCTTAAACCTCGTACAATGTTGATAGAAATTACAGACAATATTTTAGAGTAAAATGACCCAAGTGAAACTAACAAGACATTGCAGCAACGCTTCGCTAACCAGAAGCTTTGTCAAACCAACGACACTTACAAAACTTGACAAAGCTCCTGGAGAGCGAAACGTTGCCACAATAAAATGTTTCATTAGAGGTACAAGTATTTTCTTACCTTCTTAAATCTGCTGCCTATGTTCACCTAGCAGCCAGTAAGGAACCTAGGTTATACCCAACTAGTGTCATGTTCACCTAGCAGCCAATACGGAACCTAGGTTATAGCCAACTAGTGTCATGTTCACCTAGCAGCCAATACGGAACCTAGGTTATAGCCAACTAGTGTCATGTTCACCTAGGAGCTAATAAGGAACCTAGGTTATAGCCAACTAGTGTCATGTTCACCTAGCAGCCAATAAGGAACCTAGATTATAGCCAACTAGTGTCATGTTCACCTAGCAGCCAAGAAGGAACCTAGGTTATAGCCAACTAGTGTCATGTTCACATAGCAGCCAATAAGGAACCTAGGTTATACCCAACTAGTGTCATGTTCACCTAGCAGCCAATAAGGAACCTAGGTTATAGCCAACTAGTGCCATGTTCACCTAGCAGCCAATAAGGAACCTAGGTTATAGCCAACTAGTGATATGTTCACCTAGCAGCCAATAAGGAACCTAGGTTATACCCAACTAGTGTCATGTTCACCTAGCAGCCAAGAAGGAACCTAGGTTATAGCCAACTAGTGTCATGTTCACCTAGCAGCCAATAAGGAACCTAGGTTATACCCAACTAGTGTCATGTTCACCTAGCAGCCAATAAGGAACCTAGATTATAGCCAACTAGTGTCACGTTCACCTAACAACCAATAAGGAACCTAGAGGATAGCCAGCTTTTGCCATGTTCACCTAGTAGCCGATAGAGAACCAAGGCTATGTCCAGCTAGTGTCAACTGCTTCCTATTAGAGGATCCCAATTTGAACAAGGCACACTACCTAGCTTTGTTAAAATATCCTATCTTTTAGCATGCACCTGAGCTTAACAATGTCATCATACCGTATTAGATTTTTTCTTGTTTTGTGACAGCAGTAGTACAATGTTCTGTCATTGTACTAGCATTTGTTTTTACAGTTGTAGCTTAGAAGTCAAGCATTAAGACAATGAAAATAGTTTTAATGTGTCTATAAGAAAGAACAAAGTCACAATACCGTGACTGGAACAATACACAAATAACTCGCACATAGAGAGAAGCTTATGACGGCGTTTCGGTCCGACTTGAACCATTTACGAATCACACTGTGTGACCACCGAAACGTCGTCATAAGCTTCTTTATCTTATGTGTGGGTTATTTGTGTATTATCTATAGGAAACTTACCGTCCAGTTTTGGTGATGATCATCTCTGTGCCGAGCTCGAAAAACTTCTCCCAAAGATCTTTGGTCTCCAGGTGGCAGTCGATGGTCTCTAGGTCAGGGCAGTTGCCCTTGGTCTTCATTTCCAGCTTGGAGGCCTTGTCGGACTCCTTGTGGGTGGAGTGTGAGTCAGAGGAGGTCGACTCTGGTGACTTCGAGCAAGGACGGTCGAGAGGATCCTTGCTGCTGTCGAGGTCGCAGTCGTCCTTATCAGAAACGACGTCAATGTCGATATCCTCAGCCTCGATGTCGCCTCCATCGTCAAGCTCGTCCTCAGACTTTATGCTAGTCTCCGTGAGTTTCTCTGTGGAGGACAAATGTTTGCGTCTTATTACTCCGATGATGTCAAGGTACCTTATTCGTGAAAATAAGATAGCACATCTCGTTATTACTCTGATGTCAAGGTACCTTATTAATGAAAAAAGATACATCTTGTTATTACTCCGATGTCAAGGTGCCTTATTAACGAAAATAAGATACATCTCGTTATTACTCCGATGATGTCAAGGTACCTTATTAATGAGAATAAGATACCACCTCTTGTTATTACTTCGATGATGCCAAGATACCTTATTAATGAAAATAAGATACCAGATAATTTAAGCAAATACTTTATATTAATACAGTAGCTACTATTTTGTATAACGTGATAAAGGTTTTTCACGTACAAGACACTGATTACTTAAATACTTTTCTTAAGAGTGTATTACCTACATTGAGTAGTTACTCTTCCTTTCAAAAATTAATTTAGAGGTTAATGGGAGTTTCCTGGCGATCTTGTCCTGACTACTCGCTCTCACAATCTTACCCTAATCTCTTGCTCACACAAATTTACCCAGATCTCGCGCTCTCACAAAGTTGCCCTAATTTCTCGCTCTCGCGAATTGCTATAATCTCCTGCCCTTACAATCTCAAATAATCGCTCTTTCATTAACTAATGTATAAAACCCATCCTGTGTGATGGAATATGACAGGGAAACAAATAACGTGTTGTTCCCATAAAGCAACTATCATGCGAGTGTTCCCACAATGTAACTATCGTACAGATTGTGTCGCAGCACACTGCGATTGTTCCCACATTTTAGCCATCATACAGAATAGTGTAACCGCACCCTACGGCTGTTCATATAAGAACATAAAGGAGGAACGCTGCAGCAGGCCTACTGGCTCATAATGAGCAGGTTCTTCTCAGACTCAAACCCATTAACAAAACCATTTTCAATGCTACCCAACAATGTATCATACAGAATAGTGTAGCCGTACACTGCCAGTGTTCTCACAATGTAACTTAATGTGTTTTGGTTGCTGCGAGATCCAACAAAGTCATTTCTGAATCTCTTATGCCCTCAAGGAAGGTTCCTTGGATCTGTGCTCCAGTTCCCCGAATTAAGCCTGAATGCCTTCCACATCCCCCCCCCCCAGGCGCTGTATAATCCTCCGGGTTTAGCGCTTCCACCTTGATTTTAATAATTAATAATAATCTTATGCCCAGTTCCTGCGACCTCAATGAATGCATATGAAATAGTGTATTAATATTGGTAGAATTACCGACAAATGAAATAGTGCAACACAAGTTTCATTTTTTTCAATAAACCGGCCTTCTCCCACCGAGGTATTATGACACCATCACTCCCTGTCTTGCCAGAGGGGCACCGATACAACAGTTCAAAACTGTAAACATCCCCATCCCTCATTCAGAGTGCAAGTACTGTATTTCCTACACAGCCCCCAAACCAATTCGAACCTTCCACTAAGATACACCATCTGTGAAAGTCTCAAGCCAATCAGAAGAGGCACTCTCTAGTTATCACACACAAACTAATATTACAAAATACTCCAGAATTTAAAGCCTAAATCCGCTCAAGAGTTGCAGTCTCAAGTTACTGGAGTTGAAGGGTTCAAGCAGATTAAAGAATTGAGACACTTGTGCAACACATGGGAATCTTTATTGAAGAAACGTTTCGCCACACAGTGGCTTCATCAGTCCAATACAAAATAGAAATCGGTAAGGAGAGGAGGAGTTTGAGGTAATCAGTCCTTCAACCTGGAATCGATGTGTTCAGTCCATCACTCTTGTAGGAAGTGCAGCACAGGGCCAGAGAGGTGACTTATATACTGCAGTCAGATGAGTTGAAGCAGATTAAGTGAGATATTCATCAGTTACCGCGTGAAAACTATTACATCAGTTTTAGCAGATGCAATGAAACTGGCAAATTGGTCTCTGTACAGTCCAAAATTAACCCAAACCTTGAAGTATGATTCAAAATATTTAATATTTGAAAATCAGAAATAGCATTTATCGGTAACTCTATAGAAACCAGTTTAACAAAACCGACAAATCAAAATTTAGAAAACCCGAAATCAATGAGAAAACCACACCATCACAAAGTTTGAAGACGAATAGAAGAGGCATTTTCCAGATACTGCCACAATTATAAGATGATTAACTACTGTATTTTCCGGCAGTCTTGAAAAATCAGCCTGCATCTTATATGCTCAAAGTCAGGGTCAACGGTAGTCTATGGGTTACACTGCAGCAGTTGTTTACTAACGTTACGTTACAACTGCTTGGAAATATCTTGCATGTGGCCAACAGTAACAGCCTGGTTGATCAGGCCCTGATCCACCATGAGACCTGGTCACAGACCGGGATGCGGGGGCGGTGACCCCCGGAACCCTCTCCAGGTATATATCTCGTATTGATCGTGCGCCTTATATGCCGGAAAATACGGTATTATCTGCCTGTTCATTAAAAAGCACCAGAGGTTATACATTAATGCCGTTTAGAAGAAGAATTCCCAAGTTATCTCACAGAAAACACACATCTCACAATTTTAACAACTGAACTGTCAAATTATCACCTACACTCATAACAATCACGACCTCCTTATAGGTAGGATACACCGGGGTTGAAAGTTTGAAGCCGATCAGTAAAATCTTTCTCAAGTTACTGAATGGAAGCCAAAATCATGAATAGCTACATAAAGCTACAAAATAAGATAAGTCCTTGCCACTTCAATAGTTTTGTGAGCCTTTTTTTAATTATAGTTGACCGGTGTTGATTTCCAGCCGACCGGATGTGGTGCTTTTAAGTTATAAACGAAAATTTAGAGGGAAAAATACTGTCAACTACTGATGATGTAATTAATTTCGTTTAATAAAAAAATCTGTCTCCTCCCTTAAGAGTTTCTCGTGTTTACAACCTTTAGACTTTCTCGTGTTTACAACCTTAAAGCTTTCTTGTGTTTGCAACCTTAAAGCTTTCTTGTGTTTACAACCTTTAAGCTTTCTTGTGTTTACAACCTTAAGACTTTCTCGTGTTTATAACCTTAAAGCTTTCTTGTGTTTACAACCTTTAAGCTTTCTTGTGTTTACAACCTTAAGACTTTCTCGTGTTTATAACCTTAAAGCTTTCTTGTGTTTACAACCTTTAAGCTTTCTTGTGTTTACAACCTTTAAGCTTTCTTGTGTTTACAACCTTAAAGCTTTCTTGTGTTTACAACCTTTAAGCTTTCTTGTGTTTACAACCTTTAAGCTTTCTTGTGTTTACAACCTTAAAGCTTTCTCGTGTTTACAACCTTTAGACTTTCTCGTGTTTACAACCTTAAGACTTTCTCGTGTTTACAACCTTAAGACTTTTTCGTGTTTACAATCTTAAGGATTTTTCGTGTTTACAGCCAATGAGATTAAATCCAGACAAGGCCCTAGCTCCCCTCCCTCCCCACCACCACGTCAACACCTCCACAACCTGTGTGATCAACATTGCAATCCCCATCATCCTCCCCACCCTCCATCTCCTCCCCCCTCCCTAACCATCCCCACCAACCTCCTACCCTTCCCATCTCACTTCCTCCTTCCCTCGACACGCAAACTCGCTAAGGAAGTTTTTTGCTTGCCCCTCCTTCTCCTCCTGTTTTTTTTAACCCCCGTTTCTCCATTTTAATAGTCTTAATTATTTACCCATCTTCCCTTCCCTCATGTACCTCCTAAGTTATTTCCTCTTCTCTTGCTATCTTTTCACCTCTTCTGTTCTCTCAGCGTATATTCTTTGCTTCTGCTGTTTTTCCCTTCTCTTCTAGTTCCTTTTTCTCCTTTTGTGTTTTCCCCTCCCGCTTTACTCCACCTATTCCCTTTCCTTCTCATCTTATTCCTTTCTTCTTCCACCTGTTCCAGTTCCTGTTCCATCTTCACCATTTCTATTCCTTTCCTGCTCTTTTTGCCTTCGTTTTCCATTTCACCGTTTTTCTTTCCTTCCCTGCCTCCTCTTGTTTCAGTGTACAAGGGAACACAGAGACAAGAAAAATTCCTTTAGTAAAGAGAGAAGTGTACACAAAAATCGAGGGATGTTTGCAGATGACGAATTCTGATATTTTGCCCCGGCAGCAATAAACCGGGAGTAGAGTGCCTGCACTCTGAACGAAGGTTGGATGTGGAGAGTATAGTGCCTGCACTCTGAACGAAGGTTGGATGTGGAGAGTATAGTGCCTGCACTCTGAACGAAGGTAGGATGTGGGGAGTACAGTGCCTGCACTCTGAAGGAAGGTTGGATGTGGGGAGTATAGTGCCTGCACTCTGAACGAAGGTTGGATGTGGAGAGTATAGTGCCTGCACTCTGAACGAAGGTAGGATGTGGGAGTACAGTGCCTGCACTCTGAAGGAAGGTTGGATGTGGGGAGTACAGTGCCTGCACTCTGAACGAAGGTTGGATGTGGAGAGTATAGTGCCTGCACTCTGAACGAAGGTAGGATGTGGGGAGTACAGTGCCTGCACTCTGAAGGAAGGTTGGATGTGGGGAGTATAGTGCCTGCACTCTGAACGAAGGTTGGATGTGGAGAGTATAGTGCCTGCACTCTGAAGGAAGGTAGGATGTGGAGAGTATAGTGCCTGCACTCTGAAGGAAGGTTGGATGTGGAGAGTATAGTGCCTGCACTCTGAACGAAGGTTGGATGTGGAGAGTATAGTGCCTGCACTCTTAAGGAAGGTAGGATGTGGAGAGTATAGTGCCTGCACTCTGAACGAAGGTTGGATGTGGAGAGTATAGTGCCTGCACTCTGAACGAAAGTTGGATGTGGAGAGTATAGTGCCTGCACTCTGAACGAAAGTTGGATGTGGAGAGTATAGTGCCTGCCACTCTGAACGAAAGTTGGATGTGGAGAGTATAGTGCCTGCACTCTGAACGAAAGTTGGATGTGGAGAGTATAGTGCCTGCACTCTGAAGGAAGGTAGGATGTGGAGAGTATAGTGCCTGCACTCTGAAGGAAGGTTGGATGTGGAGAGTATAGTGCCTGCACTCTGAACGAAAGT